GATTTGTTTTTCACTACGATCAAGTCATTTGGTGTCATATCGTCGTCACTTGAGTTAATAAACGCTAAACTATCATCAACTCTTTTAGATGAAAGTTTATAATTGCGTTTGAACATTTTATTATTAAAAATGTTTCGTGTAGGTGTATCATCAACTATACCTCTATTGAGATTAATACCATCAACATCGTTAAATTTTATGTCGTCAATGGCAAAAATGAGGCCAGCTCTAATGTTTAGTCGAATTAAGATGAGAAATATTAATTTTATATATGATGCTGATGTATTCCATATCATGACTTGCCTTTTGTTATGTCATGAACACAGAAATAGTATAATACATCAGGGTTCAGGACACTACAAAGCGTAGCAATTGAGATAAGTGTTTGACGACTGACTACGGATTGAACAAGGTGCAATTTAAGGTATAGAAAAGAAAGAAATAAAATGAAACAATTTATTATTATTATTATTATTATTATTATTATTATTTAAAAAAGTATCTGACCGCGCTAATAAATTATGATACAAATGTAACATGCCTATTAACGTCATCTTTGGGTTTTTATAGGTCTTACAGTAGATAGTAAAGATGATTACCACGAAATATATATTGACCTTTCCGCGTCAATGTGTCTTTCAAACTCGTGATTTGAATGATTTATATTCTATCGTTTAATTATGGAAATCGACTTTTCCCTTTATAGAAAATTGTTTAAATTAATGTAACGCGATGGAATTTGGATAAGAATAATTGGTCTGGAAGTCATATATGCACTTCCCTTTTAAAGTATAAATCTTTACAATATTCCAATTTTAGTATAGTAAAAATCATTAATTTAGACGCATAAAGTTTCATGCATAATTAGTTACGAGTCCGATTAGAGCTTGGGTCCTTCATATTAAATTTAGTGGATATTCTACCGCTACGGACTTTACTATTAAATTCAGTATCCAACTTAACAAACTTTAGCGTGACAAAATACAGTTCACTCTCGCTATAACGGATTGATCAGGGAAGCTCCATATGTTATAATATCCGCCATAGCATTATACTGTATTAATCGCACGATATGTCACTTACACATCTGATGTAGCATTATAAAAATTTTAAATTTCCGGAGAATCACACCGCTATAACGAGAGATCCGCTTTAAAAGGGTCCGCTATAATAAGGGTGAGCTGTAACTTTATTTTTAGTTTATAATTTTATATTGTAAGTATATAATATAAGAATTAAAAAAAAAAATAGATTACTCTACTAGAAATAATTCTTTTACACAATTTTATTTTTTTTTAAAAAAAAATAAACGATTCAGAGCAAATTTTATTCAGTGCACACAAGCTAAAAGCGTTCTTAAAATTTAAATCTTACAATTTTTTTTTGCATAAACCTATTGAATAAAAAAAAAGCTCGGAGAACATTAGTCACAATTACAGTATAAATATACTGTACAGTAATTACAGGTTTATTTGTATTTGTTAAACAACAATAATAATTTTAAACAGACAATTTCTATTTGTATAATATGTATATCTCAAAATCCTAACTTTTGAGTCTAACAAAAAATATTTCTTGCAAATTTTTAGTATAGACCTTAGCTATTTATAACCCTAAAGCTAACCTTACTCTAACATTAAACTGTGTTAATTTTTGTCTTATATATTACACAAATTTGTAAATCAACAAATTATACGTACACACTATATTAGTGCGGCAAGGAAAACCTTGAACCCGAATTATAATTTATTATTGCCGGCTGCCGGTTCGAGGTTTTCCCCTGCTGGCAATCATATGTAAACTAATCAAATTTTCTTTTAAATAAATTTTATTTAGTTTATTATGCGTATACAAAGTTTTGCGATTTTATTAGTAACAAATTTAATTATAGTTAGTCTTCTCTATAGTTATTTATACGTTTATATATAAATATAATTGCTTTATACGTATTTATTATTATCTTTTTTCAAAAACTGTCTATTGCTATACATATAAAAATTATAAAATATTTTAATGGCGTTATTTTAAAACGACCCGTGGTCGACCAATCAAATCCGATCACGTGAATCATGTGCTTGACCAGGATTATGATGCGACATGCTTGAAGTTTGTATATTATCAGACTTGCTATTAACAGCACAATATCGAATCGTGATCGTGACCACAATATTACTGTGTTTTTTTTAGAGTAAATCAACAAGTTTGGTAAGAATTTATGAAGATAATATAATATTATAAGTAAAAATAGGGATATTTTGATATGCTGTATTAAATTAAAATAAAAAAATGTATTACGTAGCATAGTTCATTTATATTTATTGCTCTAAATGTATAGCATAACTTGGCCCAACTTATAAGTATATTATATATTGCAGATGCACTTAAGGAGGTCTTACTGTATTTGCTAACTATATATATTTTTTAAAATAAATCATATCAGTTTATTACCTGAATTTTGATTCTTATCTAAAAATTGTTTAAACAATTAAAATTAGCTAGCAAAGTTTATTAATCCATTTTTTTCTTTAAGTTACTACCATAAAAGATCATATATGAGGTCTGGGTCTGTTATATTATATCTATTTTATAAAATCTATTAGATCCAGGTATAATACACAGTTAAGCACTTACATTGTAACAAGGTCATAGACAGAAGTTTGTCTGATTGGCTAATAAATTCAATTTAATTTTACAGTGTTCAACAAAAGTTTTTTGCACCTTTAATTTTAGATAAATTATGTATAGACACGTGAAATTTTATTTATATATAGTATATCGCATATGCAGATTGTACTAACACTCTTTGGACAAGTTTGATAGTAAAAATACTTGCACTAATCATTTATGAAAACTCAGCTGAAAAAATGTCTTTTCCTTTGTATAAATAATATGAAATCATTTTTTTTAAGTACCCACTCGAAAGGTCTCAAGCTCTCAACACATAAGACAGCAAAGCAGGTTCACTATAATGAAAGTATAGTGTGTAATTGGATTAGAAGATAGCAAGAAATCAAGGATCTAAGTGACAAACCAAGGTTAGGCCATAAAAAGACTATTACCAAAAAACAAAACAAACATATTTTAAAGTTAGCA